ACAATATTAAATTCATCATTCTGCCCCTTTTCCAAGGCTCCGGTGAGTCCATGCGCCGGTCTCTCCGTCTCTCTCTGCTCTGTCTAGTCGTGTTAGTTGACTTGTTTACCCGTCAGTGAACTCCTCAATATATACCCTCGTACGATAGATAAGACGCATGGTCATACATGCAATTGTCTCTTTTATCTCGTCACGGTATGCTTACTGACCAGTGCATATTCCTTTGAATTAAAGCGGAACGTGTGCGCAGATCATATTTAGTTTGTAAATGACATATGGGATTAATTACATGTTTAATTACAACACAGACAATCGTGACTTAAGAACAGTTAAAAGGTCAATATCATATATATTATCAAGAAACATGGATGTAGTTCATACAGTTCTAAGCACCTAAATGACCGTTCAATTTGATGAAAAGTTTAGATCACTTTGTCACAAAAGTTTGGTTTTGAGATACTTTTTAAAACCTTTAATAGAATTTGCGCTGTTGGTTTCGTTTGATATTGAATTTCATAAATTCGGAGCACCGACTGCGAAAGAGTTATCACCGGAGTTGGTTTTTGAAAAAGGCGTAATTAAGAAGTTTTCTGGTTGTGATCGAAGGGTTCTGCAAAGTTTATTGGTGTTGATAAGGTCTCTAAAGTATTGAGGTGAAGAATCGTCATTTTATGTTCATTTGGTTTAGTCTTGTTCTGATCCGGGCTGATTTATTTTGATGTTCTTGAAATCGTTTAATTTTTTTTCTGGTAGACGAGCAATAGGCAAAAATGCCAAGGTATCACTAACTGGCAACCCGACGGTATATTGTCTGCCAGCTTGACTTATTTCTTCATCAGATGGTAAGGCGGTTTTGGGAACATTGGTGGGTTTAAACGTACAACAGCCCCTGCGATTAAATGTTGGAAAAAAACATTGGTAGAAGATAATCCAAGAATTTACTTAAGCTTCAATATGTATGGCAAATGGACAGTAAGTAACGACAAATACATTCTGAAATTGGAACCTCCCTCAATCAAGTGGCTTCTAAAAATAGATATTTTATATCTTGTGGTATTTCTTCGGGAATACAATCTTTTGAGAGACATTTGAAGCAAATTCTTGATATATTAAAGATACATTATGGGAGATTCGATAACGAGTTGGCAGTTCTCACTATAATAGTTAAAAACTATGTAAAGGCAATTTGCTGAAAGTTTCATTCAAATTGATCCACTATGAACCGAGAACTAAGCGTTTGGAATTTGCGCCTAGCCTCTATCATCATTACTAAAGTCAGTACGATAAACAGCATTGTCTCGATTATCCATTTAATCGTTAAATCGTGAAGGAAAGTTATGCAGTAAATCGGCTCATAATCCACTTAAGATCGCAGACTAGCGATGCCATCTAGAGTTGATTATGGTCTGGATAGGTTAACTAATGTCTAATTAATAATTTAGATAACATTTCAGGGCTAAAGAAAGACCTGCAATAGACAGATTTAGCTCTTGTATAATGTATGTTTAAGTAGTTTGAATATGTTTCTATTCCAAAATATATCATCAAATCACCCAGTTTGTACGCGGGAAGGCATCTTTAACATAGTGAACACACTTTGTACTTTATAATTGTTCCCCTCTGATTAATGCTTGTTTACAATAACTTTTATGATAACAAAGTCACGTAGTCACAACATGTCTTTACATTCCGTTAAAGATACATTTTGTATTTGTAAGACTTAAATCTGCCTATTGCAAGACTTTATTTTGGCTTCAACCCAGCAAACAATTAAACATCTTTTAAACGTATTAAAAACGTTTCACTTAGGTTTCCAAAACGTTTATTTTCAACGTTTAAAAAACCTCAAATTGTGGACTCGTTTTAACGTTTCTAAAACGTTTTGGCTAATCGGGTTTTTTTTTTTTAACTTTCACTTAAAACGTTTAAAAAACATTTAATAAACATTTTTTTATCTAACATTTTAGAAACCAAGAAAAAACGTTTTTTATATGTTTTGTGTTTGCTGGGAAGTGCTATATAAACTATTATTTGGACATGTATTAAGATTACAAGCCCATAATTAACTTCCTCGATCACCGGATGGCTTAGTTTTAAATGGATTAGAACGCCCGCGAGATTTAAAATGTTCACGTTAAAATAGATAATCGAGACTTAGTCTTGTTTGTCCAGTAACGTTACTACGGTAATAAACAATCTATGCTACATCTCTCAACACTCAACAATATATTCCTTTTGCAGAATCTATTTTTAAAGTATTGTAGCAAGAACGGCGACTTTACGTAATGCATCTTTAAGTCTTCTAATCGTAGTGGGGGGCGAATGGTTAACGCGTGCGCGCGATGCATCATAAGTTCTGTCATTGAGTCAAATGGCGTGGCTTCGATTCCTTGCTATACGTGAAAAGGAGTAGGGTCGACTGCCCAACCTCGTGGGTTTTCTCCGGGTCTTCCCGTTTCCCCTCACTGCTAAAGACCCCTACGCGCAAGTGAATCAATGAAATAAAATTGAACAATATATTAGTCCCGAAATGACCTACTCTCTCTCTCTCTCTCTCTCTCCCTCTCTCTCTCTATATATATAAACTTAGTAATAGGTAGGCTATTCACGACACACCTGTTTACACACAAATATTGTAACAATTGCTGTAGTCTGCTCGGGTAAAGTCTACCATTTTAATTATGACTCAAGCATACATTCTTAGAAGAAACGATAAAAACTGTAGTGCATATTAAGGTATCCAGGGCCTGTTGTAGAAAACAGGATATTATGAACACATTGCAGGATATGAATAGCTTTAACTAGACCTACATTTAGTCATATTTAAAGAAACTAAATCTTTAATTCAATATCACTCAAAGTCTTACGCGTTGAAAACACGAATTATTTGTCATATCAACATTGATGTTGTTATCTTATCTTACCGGGAAAAGATGGGCTTCTGATATCCACGAATCGTGTACCATAGTGCGTTTCAGCGTCATTTGTAACAAGTGACCAGAAAGAACGAGGCTAGGCATATTCCACAACTCATGTCAAACGGCGACGTCATAACTTATCTGGAGAGCATGCGCAATAGACTGGAATAACCAGGCGCTAGAAGTTTCTATTCGGTTGAGACTCATGCCGTATTTCGCTGGACATAACTGATTTGAAATTAGAGTCAAAACGGAAACAATTGAATGTAAATCAGTTCATATACAATCAGATTACATTATTACATGCGTTGCGACCCATTTGTGTCAATTTCTAGGTCCCAAATGTTAGCGATTTAGCTCCTTTAAGGCAAACTATGCTTTACTTCACATTTAGTAATTGATTAATACCTGAAAATAGACACGCCTGACAGCCCTGCTGTCAGATTACCTGGATCCAGGATTTTGTCGAGGGGGGGGGGGGCATACATTGGAGCAAAGGGTAATCATCAGAGTGCCTGTAGTGAAGTTGAAATCCATTAATTCAGAGGAGTAATATAAATCGATGGTCGTAACAATAGCCACAGGACTATTTTTACGACTATTCAGTTTTTAACTTCGCCGATGGAGGGCTCTGAAAGCATCGTCTTAACAATAGCCTGAGGACTATTTTTACGACTCGTCGTAACAATAGCCACTGCCTTGACAAAAAAAAAACAGCCCTGGGCGTATTGCACTGACAAGAAGTCTGGCAAAAAGGGGTATAACTCTGGTGTCCACAGGACACAATCTAGCTCTTTTCGGGACTAAAATATAGTTAAATTTTATTTCAATAATTCGCTTACGCGTAGGGGGACTTCTGCTGTGGGAGGAAATCCGAGGCCTGACAGGGTAGGACAGAAGACCCTACTCCTTGTCACGTACATGCTGGGAATAGAAACAAAACGACAGACCTTATGATCTAAAGCGCACGTGTTAGAGAATTTGTCCACTCAACCACGCCCTGTGACAGAGTGTTATAACTTATAGTCATGCCTTGATAGACCATAGAAAATGACCCGTTTTGCAGTCGACGCCCTTAGCCTTTTTTTAAATATTAATTCTTTTTAATTTTTAACTTTTATTAGCAGTCTGAGCTCAGAACTCAAGAGTAGATATCTGCCCTGAATGGCCACCATATCTATAAATTATTATACTATATTGTAATGCAGCTCTATTCCGTTTCACATTAGTCTCTATCACCGGGAAAAGTATTCTACGAACATTAGTCTGGATGCGTTGTCAACATTTGAGAATAATAGGTCATTGGCTGGATTATCCGGTCTTTTACATTATTATAAGGGAGGTAACTAGTCCTAAAACAAGATGTTGACGCCCATGACATTAATTATTTAAGAATGCCATTTCAAAAAATCCATTTGATTGCATGCCAGTTCAATATCCAACCTTTTTATTGTAAACTTTTCTCTTCATGGGCCATGTCTATGTTTTCAGAATTAATCCTAATTCGTCGTCACGATTCATGTTTGTTTATATTAATGCAAGAATTATTGAATTTATTGCGGGAAGGGGCGCAACTCTTCCTTGACTTGGCCAAAGACACTGGACAATCAACCACATTAAAAAACAAACTGCCGGTTACGCATGGGCAATGGACTTTTCGTCAAATACGGAAAACGGTCCCTGACCCCCAATCCGCTGAAGACTAGAATGTTCTGGGTGACCGAGACTATTTCACATAGACTAAATAAAGCTTTTCAATTTTTTAAAATGGAAGCGAAATAAATACTTCTCAAAATTCGCGAAGTATACTTACTTAGTGCTTTCGGTAAAATTGTCGATTTAGGAATTAAAATGTCGGTCAATTAGCGTAATGTCTACTTGTAGACAGTCGACGTATGCATGTTTAGTAAGGGGAGATCATTCCCATTTAAGCGGGATTCTTTTGGGTTTTTTGTTTCAGTTTCTACGGTTGTAATTTGAATGTAAGTTTTCTTTGTTTGAATAAACAGTGAATTATATTTGCGTATTACCCCCAACAACACAATAAGAGTATTCTTCAAGATATAACAAAAGACCTTCAACAAAAGATAACGGTTTATTTTCTCTGTGTAAATACATGAGTAATGCAATTTTAACAAATCGTGATTAACAATCATTAAAGTGACATTGATTATGAAAGATAAGATAAAGAGATGACAGTTTATATAAATATTTAAGGCCTAATAAAGAAAGACCTGCAATAGGCAGATTTGGCTCTTGCATAATGTATGTTTAAATAAAAAACTAAGTAGGCAAGACCGTCTGTGACAGGACCTACAGGTCCTTCAGTCATGTGGGAGTGTTTAGGGGCGGATAGGGTAGCTGTGGGAGGGAGGGAGAAATGACGTTTAACGTCACTTCGGGACTAACATATGGTTCAATAATTCGCTTGCGCGTAGGCGTCTTTAGCAGTGGGAGGAAATCGGAGGACCCAGAGAAAACCCAAGAGATTGGACAGGCGACCCTTCTCCTTGTCACATACAACCGAAATAGCCACTTGAAAGATGTTTTGTTTAAAATTTATAAACTTACAAATTTGGAACGAATGAAAAGCGTTTGAACAGCACAATCAAGTACTTTTGGTTTTTAAATAGGTCCTAAGTCTTTTTCCCCGAAGGACAGAAATTCATTTTAGTGTGGTTTAACTTATATTATCTAAAACCGAAAAACAATAAAAATACCATAATATAACAATGTTATTTCATATATTTTCAACAACAACTTAAACCCAAAAATATATACAAATCTAATATCAACTAGTCCTCCTCACTATAATAGTTCAAAAATAGATAATTCAAAATGAATATATTGAAAATTTCATTCAAATTACTTTATTTTGACAAGATGTGTGCCTTGATCGCAACCACGGGACTGGCCATTTCAGTCTCAACCTCGCTTCTCCATTGTTTCAATTAAATCAATGGTTAAACCGTTCTAATCTACTTAAAATCGGAGCAATCCAATGGCATCGAGAGTTGATTATGGTCTTGTGATGTTAATAAATGTCTAATTAATAATTTATATATCATTTACGGCCCAAAGAAAGATCTACAATAGGCAGATTTAGCTCTTACATAATGCCTGTTTCAACTTGGGTAACAAAATGGCGAACATATGACTCCTTGTTCATACATGCAATTATTATACTAACGACCATACGACGGCACCGATTGGAAAGACAATTTTTTCTATTGAAAAATATAATGGCCTTAATCAGAGGAGAGTGGGTGCGTAAAAGGTGAATCAAGCCAGTTTCGTTTCCTCGATATAGGTCACATATTCTTCCACCACCATTGGGGCCCAAGGAAACTAGTTGGGTCGTGGGTCGAAGAGCTACCCAATCAGCCCCTGATAGTGTATGGCTTATCGTGAATATAACATCTCATTTATCGTTAGTGTACTAGATAATGTTCTAATGGAATGTAATGTTAAAAAACAACAAAAAACGCTTGGCTCCTTTCTGGATCCCCTTGAAATAAATACAATCTAGTCTACATCATATATGGAATGGTCCACGTGTAGGATATATCTTTACTGGGAACATTTAACAGATAACAGTTCAAATGCTCTAGCAATAGTTAGGGACTATACCAGCCTGACGGTTCGAACTAAATGCTCACGTTCAATAGTTAGAGCCTATACCAGCCAGAAGGTTCGGACTAAATGCTCACGGCCAATAGTAAGGGCCTATACCAGCCAGACGATTCAGACACAATGCTAACGGTCAGCAGTTATAGGGCCTATACCAGCCAGAAGGTTCAGGCTAAATGCTCACGGCCAATAGTTATAGGGCCTATACCAGCCAGAAGGTTCGGACTAAATGCTCACGGCCAATAGTTATAGGGCCTATACCAGCCAGAAGGTTCAGGCTAAATGCTCACGGCCAATAGTTATAGGGCCTATACCAGCCAGAAGGTTCAGACACAATGCTAACGGTCAGTAGTTATAGGGCCTATACCAGCCAGAAGGTTCAGACACAATGCTAACGGTCAGTAGTTATAGGGCCTATACCAGCTAGAAGGTTCAGGCTAAATGCTCACAACCAATAGTTATCTACCAGCCAAAAGATTTGGACTACCACTGGACAAACAACATGGTCTGATTATGGAGATATGCTGAACGGAACTGAATCATTTTTGTAGTCCTACTGATATTCCTTTTGAAAATTAAACTTTCTGCGTCACAATATTGTACACTCGGCAAACCTCGGCAGACTCCAGTACCCTACATCTAGCCTCGGCGGTATGACGAAGTCCGCCATTGAAACTATACTTTCAAGTTACCGGATTACAAATGGCGGCGCCCATGAAGACACATGTGAAGAGTGTTTTATCATACAAAGCTTTCAATGTCTGAAGCTCTTTTCCTTTTTAAGTTAATCCCATGCTAAATCAAAACTAATTCTATGTGTTGGTCTTTCCCTGGAAAATAACTCTAAGGCATGCTCTGTTTCGGAAAGAGAAATTAGTTTTGTCGTCATGGTGAATTCTTAAAATTATCGGGCTCCCCTTAGTTGCGGGTCCTGTGCAACAGAACAGTTCGCACACCCCATTCCTGATTCTTATCACAATTTTTATTGACGGATTACCAAGACGTTTCGGAAAAATAAGGCGACTGAGTCGTACAACGGACTAGCTTGTCCAGTTTTAAACAATACAAACTATTTTCATCATGTCTAAAAAACGCTCCAATTCTACCAAAACCACTTTTACTAACGACTAAAACATCGCATAAACTTAACACGACTTGATCTAAAATAACTTTCTTAAATCCTTCACAAACGTCTGAACCGCTACTTCGTTCAACATGAACAATTTTTCCGGCAATATCCATGAATACAGCGGGAAACAACTCTTTAGCTTTTAGCCTCACATTTTCACTATCGGTTGTAATAAAAATCCTGTATTTCGAAGAATCGTTGTATTTCTTATAAAAATTCCACAAAATTTGAATATTGTTTATATTATTCCTTATTTCCGAGTCAGTCGGGACCGAGGGGTTCCTCCCCATTCGGATCTGAGCCCCAACAACTTTTAAACCTTTCGTTTTGAGCTGCTGAAAAGGTTCTATTCGTTTCTGGAGATCTGGTTTAAGTTTAAATAAGCGTTCCCAGACTATCTTATACACTTCAGACACAGAAAGTTGGTCCATCCATCCCAATTGTTTTTTGTATAATTTATTTTCTTTTATAAAACGCACAAATTCCAGATTTAAAGAAAAATATAAAACGTCTTCTTTGTACTCCTTGTTTAAATCCATGCTCTTCAACTTCTCGCGTAACTGGGCAGAGTAACCATCAATGGCGACTATCTTTTTAGAGGATCTAGTTTTCAGTGTATCCGGATTAATGTTCCACTGGACTATATTGGGGTCGAACATGGTGTTTAGGTTACACGGTTTTGTAAACCAAACACCAAATTTTCTTTCCATCATTAGCGATATAAGATAAGCAGCTACTATCCCCTTCTGTCGGTCCCCAAAACCGCCACACAAATTTCCACCATCACACACATAAAATACGTACTTATCTGGGCCTTTCGTTTCGTTTTTTACTGTCGTGTTCACAAATTTTAACGTAGTGGATATACTAGTTGGTTTAGCACCAGGCGTCTGCGCTTTCGCGGTAGACACACTGACGTTTGAAGATGACGTTTTCCCTGACGTCGATAATAAGCGTGTTGTGTTATAAAATTCTGCTCCCATAGGAAGAGTGTATACGGTTGAAAACAGAACTTTGTCAAAGCGTACGAACACTACGGTACTCAAAACAAAAATTCCAATTATAATCCATATTCTGACGCCCTGTAAAATATAAAAGAGAGTTTGTAGTTTATTTGTTAAATAGTTAAAGATACATTATGGGAGATTAGATAAAGAGCTGGCAGTTCTCACTATAATAGTTAAAAACTAGATAATGTAAAGGGAATTTGCTGAAAATTTCAGTCAAATTGATCCACTCTGAACCGAGAATTTAGCGATTGAATTTTCGGCCTAGCGTCGATCATCATTACTAAAGTCGGTAACATAATCTCCATTATCCATTTCATGATTTAATCATGAATGAAAGTTGAGCAGCAAAAGCGATCCTAATCCAGTAAATATCGCAGGCTAGCAATGACATCGAGAGTTGATTATGGTCTGGATAAGTTAATTAATGTCTAATTAATAGTTTATATAACATTTCAGACCTAAAGAAAGACCTGCAATAGGCCGATTTAGCTCTTGCATAATGTATGTTTAAAGATAAAGTATATAAGAGCTAAATCTGCCTACTGCAGGTCTTTCTTTAGACATTTATTCACATGACAAGCTTATAATCAACTCTAGGGGATCACGTGGCTAAGTGGGTAGACGCTGGCTCGCTAGCCTGGAGGTCGGGTGTTCGATCCCTGCATTGGGCGAGAAAGTTCATCCAGATTTTCCGGCGTGGTTTCCCCTTGTCAGTAATGCAGGATGGAGGGCCTGACAAGGACAGCTAATGAAGACGGGCATACGCCATACAGTGTGCTATGAGGGAAATTTTGCCCGGACAGCGGCACTACGGCCTACTCTTATATCGAATTCCAACCGTCAAGGGATCTTTTACGTGCACGCCAATGTGTACACGTTACCTCGGCTTTTCGTCCCATCCGAACGACTAGACAGCTGTTTCGTTTTTTATATTTCAAAATTTCGTTTTACTTGTCTTCACTACACTAGGATCTGGAAGAGTTGTTATATTACCGGCGTTCTGCTTGATTTGTGGTATTAGCCAATCAGGCGGTCTGTTACGGCGAGTTCTTTGCGTACTGTACACGGAACTGTGGGTAAACCACTAGAAACGTCAACGATGGTTGATTAATCAATGTCTGACGTCATAGGTCAAAAGACGCTCGTATGACCTCTGACGCGACCTCCTACTACAATTGGTCAGCTTCATGTAGTGTAGTCCATCGAAAGTATAAAAAATGAAACGAAATATATCAGTTGTAAAAATGAAAACAATAAGTTAAACCCCATTGAGCTGTATTTAGTGCTTTGAATGGCCCAAGCCAAGAGCTAAATCTAAAAATTAAGGCCAGGTCAATTTTTGTCAAGGTCGCCAAGATGTAAATAAGGTTAGGGTTAGGGTAAGCATTGGGGCTAGGTCCGATGTTAGGATTAGCGCTAGTCCTGACCTATGACGAAAAATTGAGCTGGCCTATCATTGAGCACTAACCCAAGACAAGGGGCAGAAGATGGGAAATCTCCGCGGACACGATGTGTGTGAAAATTCAAGTTTATTCCCCATCCACATAAACGGAGGATAAATTTCTAGGTGCGCATTAAGCTTTTATAAAGTTAAAAATATTGATGTAGGCCAAAATAATATTATGAGAGAGAGAGAGAGAGAGAGGGAGGGGCAGATGGGGATTAACATCGACACAAACTAGGTCTTTTAAGCTTTTACAAAATTAATATTAATATAGGCCAAAATAATATTATGAAAGGCTACCTTACCTGATATTTTAGACAGTTCATATTTTGACAGCGTTGTCTGAAGAAAAGAAATGCAGATTTTAATTGAAGTGAAGAGGGTATATGACCAGGCACAATGACCAGTCAGTTTTAAATAGTATTTAATGTGTCATGGTTTGTTATCAATCAGGGTAGAAGCCAATTAGTTAAGTACTTAATCCATTATTGTTTATGTATGTTACTGTCTCTAGGGATAATCCTGAATAGTATATGTTTTGATGTCAACACTTGAGCTTATCCATTTATAGTTAGAATATGCACATCAATAGGTAGTCATTAGGTCATCCGACTTAGTAGCAGCTACGTCGGTCATCCACTGTGCTGTAAGTGTAAATTGTATGTATTGAATTATTGTCATTTGTAAGAGATAAGTTCCAGTAATTAAAAGATTGAAGAACCATTCCAGACTTATTATATCAATTATTATTATTATTATAACAATTATATCATCATGGTGTGCGATACAGAAGTCATAACTACCTGGAATAGTTGCTAAAACATTATCAACTGTTGATTGAAAAACCGCTGGAGATATACATAATCCTTGTGTTAGTCTCTTAAAATAGTAATGTTTTCCACCAGAGTATGAAGATATGCCTGTGTACTGTTGGGCCTTAGGCGATAAAGGAAGGGAAAAGAAGGCCGACTTAAGATCTAAACAACTAAGAACGGCTGGTGAAGAGTTATCAATTCTCTTCAGAGTGTCTGTCAACAGTGGAAACGGATGTTTTAAGCGCTTAATCCGCGAATTTAAATATCTGAAATCTACAACGACTCGCTTTTCATTGGTTCCCTTATTTGGAAGAATCAATACAGGTGATGTGTAGGCTTGACTACCAACTGCAAGTATTCCTAACTTCACTAATTTCTGTAACTCTTGATCAACTATACGTTTTTCTTTTTCAGTTTTAGGGTAAGGCCTAATATAAAAAGGTTTGTCATCAGTGACGTCAATATCAACTTGGATATTGGGACATTTTCCGATTTCGCCATTCAAGCTGAATGCTTCTTTATGTTTAGTCAAAAGCTGGTAGAAATTGTCTTTCTGGTTGGCTGTAAGAAGACTTTTGGTAAGGTCAATTGTAGAGCGAAATACAGAGTCTGATGAATGACTGGTATAATTAGACTCATATTCTGTAGATATATTAATAGAGTCACAAACGAAAATGTCATGTAGAGAAACATGGGATATAGGTCTAGATGATGGAATATGTAATGTCTTGGAAGTTGTATTACATATTGGAATCACAGCACTATTTCTTTTTAGCTTGATAAGAAATGTTGAAGGACAAGCAGTTTTAATCTTACTATTACATGTCAGTAAAACCTCGCGATTGCGAAAAATACCTGGAATTTTACCATGAACAGTAACATAACGTTGCTGATTGGGTTTGACATAGATTGAATTAGATGTTGAGAATGAAATGTTGGTAGATTTACACTGCAAAACATTGTTATTAAAACTAAGGTTGGCATCCAACTTTGCCAATGTCTCTTGACCAACGATCAAATCAATTCCATCAAGATTGGAAGCAATGTACACTTCAAAAACTAAAGTATGACCTTGAATAACTATCTCAAGTTGTAGCGAATGAGAACAAACTATTAGTTGACCATTAGCCATTCTAAATTTTAGGGATTGTTCTAATGTATGAAGTGGTAAACTACTGAGATATGAAGATGACTCAATAGTAAATGATGAGATTAGTAATCGAGTAGCACCACTATCAAACAAAAGTAAAGCAGAATGTCCATCAGGGAAATTACCTTTACAATAATTACGTTTTGACAATTGTATGTTTAAAGGTTTGGTCTGTGATGATGACATCGGGAATTTATTCGGAGCAATGGAACAAATTCCCTGTATTAAAAATCCTGATTATGTTTGTCAGTCATGTGCCTTTGGCGGACGAAACAAGAGCGCCAAGTATGGTTAGGCGTTCCACAGTAGTCACAGACAATTTGACGATTCCTATGACTTTGAAAAAAATCTTGACGTCTTAGAGAAAATTCTCGGTGATTTGGAGAAAAATCTTGACGACTTGAAGAAAATCGACTGTTATAATATGATCTGTTGTTATGTCTTGAGAAATGAGAATTTCGATTTTGTCTAGGGTGGGAGGGGGAAGTGTTCTCAGGGGTGCTGTAAAAATGACGGACAATGTATATCTAGGGGGGCTTCGAGAAAAATTTTCAAATTGAACTGCCGGAAACGCTATTTCCTGCACTTTGGGCAGCCTCGTCAATCGTCTTTCTCCCTTTCACACCGAAGAAATCGGTCAATTTTCATGCAAGACCCCTCATTTGAAGAAAATTTGAGCAGAAAACCTCAAAATAGTCCTCTTTGAAGATCTGAAAAAGGTAAAAAATCCAGAAATCTGGATAAAATCCGTAAACACTGCGAATCCGATATCAAATACCGATGATTTTTTTCACATGGGGCGAAATTTTTTATTGTCGACCAATTTTAGTTATACGGGGTGCTACCAATATATTTCATTTCCAACCGTGTGTTTTATTTGACACCCGTATATTTCATTTACTACCCATATATTTCATTTCCAACCGTGTGTTTTATTTGACACCCGTATATTTTATTTACTACCCATATATTTCATTTCCAACCATGTGTTTTACTTACCACCCGTATATTTTATTTACTTCCCATACATTTTATTTCCAACCGCATGGTTTTTATGCCAACCGTATAATTAATTAGTGTTAAATCAGTATTTTATCAAGATTTTAATGTGCTCCCGATAATATCGATCAAATATTCAAAGAGTTTTGATTGTGTCTGGAATAAAATGTTCAATAAATTACGTGTTCTTGAAAGGTTTAATATATATATTTTTTTGTAAAGTAGCAAACTGTTATGTAAACATACTTTTTTTTTATAATATCTAATATAAGGTTATTGTTTATTATATAAAGTCACCAATTTAAAAATATAAATCTGAGCATTATCATTTCGTATAAGGGCATATTATGTTATCTCAACACCGTCACATAATTTCAACACCGTCACGGGAATTCAACACCGTCACAAAGTGTAAAATCTCTCATTGCTACTTTTTCTTAAAGTTAAAGAACCATTTTATAAGCGGACAGAAATACTAATTGATCAGTCTGTGTTACTGAATCAAGAAATCAAATACAAAATCATGTTTTTATTGCGCTACACTTTAATACAATTACAAAATGTGGAGTGATTTGTGGTAAGTGGTATAAACTACAAATTACAGCAAAGAAATTATGACGATATAAAAAGAAATTTTATTTTTGAAGTGTAATCCCCTTCATCTTTTCAGAAGGGTGAATGTTTTTGCGTTTTCTGGTTAATTTAAAATATTTTTTGACTATACAATACCGTTACGGTGTTGAGATTTTGTAAAACACGTTCCACTAAAAGCTTAATTTTTTGTCTTAAAATTCTAAAGACTGCATGTCAGTTCATAACATAGGACGTAGAAGATACTAGTTGTCAAAACAAAGTCAAAAATGTATCGCTTCGAGATGGTTCAATAATTCGGAACTCTGATACCATGAATGCACACTCACGAGATAATTACCCTTAAATGTGGGTGAAAACAAAAATCAACCATTCTCCATGTTAGAATTCCAATCTCTATCTTTATTACTCTAAAAGGCAGAAGAACTACAACATAAGGGAGACAACTTGTGTCTGCTTACACATAAGGCTTCAGACCACAATGATGTAGAATTTTCCACAATATGACAATAGGTACACGAATCATGCTCATGGCAGCGAGAACGGAATCTTGCCTAATGGAGTAATGCCCCTTTGTCAGTCTAGCCAGTTTTGAGAAGTATAATGGTATGGATATCATTTAATTCATATGTAACCTACGGTTAGGGTTAGGGTGGGTTACGCATGTGTGTATACATGTATTGTATAAACAGGTTTGTGTTGTCAAATGTCAATACGAGAGAGAGAGAGAGAGAGAGAGAGAGAAATGGGGTTTAACGTCCACTCGACACAAACTAGGTCATTTTGGGACTAACATATGGTTTAATTTTATTTCAATAATTCGCTTGCGCGTAGGGGTCTTTAGCAGTGGGGGGAAACCGGAGGACCCGGAGAAAACCCACGAGGTTGGACAGTTGTCAATACACAGAGACCTGTGATAAATGTAATATTACATGGCTAGGGAATAAAACGTTGTATTAAAGATACATTATGGATGATTAGATCAAGAGCTAGCAGTTCTCACTACAGTAGTTCATAGCTAGATAATGTGAAGGGAATATGCTGAAAATTTAAAATTGCTCCATTCAGACCCGGATATTAGCGTTTGAATTTTAGGCCTAGACTCAATTCAATCATTATTACTGAAGTTGGTGCGATAAAAGACAGTCTCGATTATCAATTTTTGGATTAAATTATCAATGAGCGTTGAGCAGCACATCCGACACATACGATGGTATCGAAAGTTGATTATGGTCTTTTCATGTTAATAAATGTCTAAATAATTTATATAACATTTCAGGCCCAAATAAAGACCTGCAATAGGCCCATTTAGCTCTTGAATATTGTATGTTTAAAATAAACTATCGAATCAAGAACAAAGCATTAGGATCACCTTACAGCGATCTGGAAATGTCGGACGTTAAAAACCATTTCATTTCATTTATAGCGACCTGAAACAACTTTTAAACTGGACAAGTGGAGATTTGTCTTGGATTAAATTATGCTTAAAAAAGAAGAATGGAAAATAAGAATAAAAATGGTAGCAACAATCAATACCTTAGTTCTGGTTAATAAAGTCCACGGTCCAGGTGTGTAAACTAAGTCGCAACACCCAGTAATGTTCTATCCCTGACATCCGGGTTACTGAAGGTGGTGTGTAAGATATGAATTGACCAACAAGATATATAAAACTACCACTGATCAAATATATCCGTTTACGGTAGAACATGGCAGGTAATCAAATCATTGAAAGGTAACCGTGGTCACATGACGTATCTAAACATTAACAACAAGGTGAATGAGCGATG